CTTCCCCCAGAGCCCTCTAGAGAGAAATGGCCACGCCCCCAAAACCAAGCGTCCTCGCCTTCGGAGATGACCAGCCTTTCAGCTAAAGGCCGTAGGAGCTCTCTGGCGTGGCGCCACGTCTGGCTCAAGGTAGCTCGGTTCGCAGAAAAGGGGTGGTCAGGAAATCCTAACATTTCCAGCTCCAAAACACCATCCAAGTCACAGCACCATATATAAACTTTGTTAAATAGGTAGGCTTCATTAGGCAGCCGGTGAAGAGAACACCATGTGGTATTCAGGAAGGAAAAGAAGTTTATTTACCAAACTGCTGCCCCTGCCGTGCATGGGGGAGAGGCATGGCTGAAAAGGAAAAGGGGCGACCCACCCCTGGGCCAGGACTGATCTAGGCCAGGGACAGGAAGAGGTGTGACCAGGGGAAAGGTGTGGCCACACTGGATCCAGATGTGACCTCAGGGTCTGGGACCCTCCTAGGGTCAGATGAGAGGGATGACCAGAGGTGGCCCAGGATGTGACCTAGCAGAGGAGAAGATGACTGCTCCCAGGTCTGCCAGTTACCTAGGTAACAGATACTGGGCGGAAACTTAGCCAAGAGGTAGGGAGGCATCTGCACAGGGCCTACATGTTCTGGGGCAGACCTTGTAATAACCAGTGGGGCCCCGATAACCAGCGTGGCCGTGGCCTGGCCGCACCACTGGGCACACCCGGCCACCAGAGGGGGCGGGGTGTTGAGAGGCTGGCATCTCTGCCCCATGGGGTGTGCTGCCCTGCCGGAGGGGCAGGGCATGCCATCGGGTGTGCTGCGCTCCATGGAGAGCTGTCAAGAAGTGATTGGACAGTGGGCAGCTTGGGGGAGGGTCATGAATGTTGGTTGGAAGTTGGAAACCATTAGGCAGATGAAACCATTAGTCCTGTTGGAGTGGGGGAGGGGCGCAGCCTATATATATAGGCTATGAGTTCCGAGTCCTGGGGGAGGAGAGAGACAGAGACAGAGACAGAGGTCATTTGGGGCCTCCTCCAGAGGCCATTTGGGACCTTCCTCTAGAGAGGCCTGTGGAGAGTTGTCTCCTGGGGCAGAGCAGGGCAGGCCTGTGGAGAGTGGAGAGGCTGCAGAGAAGGAGGAAGGGAAGAGAAGGAAAAGCCTTCCCCTTGGCACTTGGAGCTTTGGAACTTTGGAGCTTTGGAGCTTTGGAGGTCTGAGGTTTGGAGGTTTGAAGACCAACTAATAGTCAGGGTTGCCTATTGGAGGCTTGGAGGTTTGTGGTTGAAGCTGCTCTTGGTTCTGGGTATCCAGCCCAGGACAAGGAAGTCACAGGCCTCCTTTCTGGTGTAAATAAAAATTTTTTTGGTCACCTTTAACCATGCCTCGATGCCTTATCTTGCTCTGTAGAGGTCATAATTACCTTAGAGTACACCAAGAGTAGAGGCCCCTTGCGGTGAGCTGGGGTAGTGACGCCAGCTGCCCAGGTCCTCCTGTTAGGACTTCCTTAGGGCCCAAGCCCTCAACTCCCAGACTCCAGTTCTCTTCAGACCCTGGGCCTGTTTCTTGGAGGAGGATATTGGGGGAGTAGAGACCCCACCAACGGCCTTCTTGAGGGGCCGTTCCATGCTCCCAGCCTTCACAGTGACTTCTTCTTCTGGCACCCCTCCACCAGCCCCGGCCTGGCCCAGCCTTGGCCAGGGAAGGGGCTGGCCTTGCTCTCCGGGGACAGCTCTGCATCGGAGCTTATCCAGTTCACCGACCCTGGCTTTTCTCTGCCTGGAGATAAGAAGAGCCATAGCTTGGCTCATCCGCCTTCCTAAGAGACCCTGCCCCAGCAGAGCTCTTGGTGTGTGGTGTGTATGTGGGGGAGAGGGGAGGTCTGGCAAGCAAGTCCCTCAGGAGAAAACACTAGAAAGTCAGCAGATGACAGCTGGTCATGAATGAACATCTGCAGCATTCGAACAGGGCTCTGAAGCACAGGGAGACCCCCTCCTCCCCAAGCCGGCCATGTCGCAGGCCCAGGCTCACTCCTGCAGTCCCGTGACAGGGGCAGCCGGGGGCCCGTGGGATCATGTGCATGGCTGACCTTTCCGTCTCCAGCTTGCCCAGTCACCGTGCAGGCTGTCTCCCATGCATGAGGGGACAGAGGGCCACATCTCTGCCACGCATGGCTCGGCTTGCACTGGTCTGCCCTGCAAGTCCACAGGCAGCACAGTCTGCCCTAACAGCTCCAGGCAGTTTGAGTGTGCCCGCCAAGCCAGTCTGGGGCTCAGCGGCAGGCCTGGCTCCTGAGGTGGGCGCGGGCCTTCTCGGGAACACTGTCCTCTCGGTGGGCATCAGGACGGGCTATTCTGGAGGACTGCAAGTGCCCGGTGTTCAGAGCCACCTGGGGGACAGTCACCCCGTGGCCAGCGCTGCTGTCTGCAAGGAGTTCCTCCAACTGCCGTAAGCGGCGTCAGTTGGGGATGGAATTCCCTGGGGCCTGGGGAGCGCAGCTGTTGGGACAGCTCGCTCAAGTCTCCTGGGGTTTCTAGACAGGCTTTGTCAGGACAGAATCCCCACTGAGCCAGCCTGGGGACAGCAACCTTCTGACTGCCGGGAGGTCTGGCTTTGGGAGGGCGCCTGCCCCCGGCCCTGTGCACATCCCACTGTGGGAAGCATTGGGCCCTGCAGGGTCCCTCCGCGCCTGCCCCTGCCCACAGTGGGGCTCAGGTCCCTTCGCGGTGCTCCCTCAATAGCAGGCAGGGGCAAAGCGTCCCTGGGGACACCACCCACACTGCCACCCCGAGTCCCCCTGTGCCTCCCTTCCCTCCTCAGCATGTCTAAGCCGAGGGGCCCAGGTCCTGTCCTTCCTGCCTGCTTTGCCCCTGTCCCTGCTCCATTCAGGGGCAGCCCATTTTGAGAAGTTAGGTGGTAGTGAGAGAGCCCTGGAAAGTGCTCCTGGGGCAGCCGGGTGGGCGCTTACTGGCCAGGCTCCCCGCAGAGCTTCCCGTGCCTCTGTCCCCATCAGGCTGCTGCTGGGGGGGGCCAGGACGCACCCCTCGTGCTTGGCTCCGTCTAGCCTCTTTGGATCTTGGATCAGCTACAGATAACACAAAGCCCTCAGCCAGTCTGCCATGGCTGAGGGGCACGCAGCCAGGGCCTCCCTTCCCTGCTTCCACTAGCTGGGCACGCCTGCCAGAAGGCTTTTCTGCAGACTGCCCACGGCCACCAGGCCGGACAGAGTGTGCAGGGCTCTCCCCAGAGCGGAAGGTAATATGAGTCTTTTTTCTTGCCTAGCCCATGTGTGTGTGTGCATGCATGCATGTGCATACACGCGCACACATGCCAGTCCTGGGGCTTGAATTCAAGGGCTGGGCACTGTCCCTGAACTTTGCTCAAGGCTGGTGCTCTATCATTTGGTCCATAGTTCCACTTTCAGCTTTTTGGTGGTTGGAGGTAAGTCTTGCTGACTTTCTGCCTGGGCTGGCTTTGAATCCTGATCCTCACATCTCAGCCTCCTGAGTCGCTTAGCTCACAGGCGTGAGCCACCGGCACCCAGCTTGTCTGGCCTTTTTAAGCCTCTCATCCTTTTGCGTTTTAAATAGATTTTTTTCCTTGATAAAATTAAGCCTTGCTTACTGTAGACATGTTGGAAAATTTCCAAAAGGATTCAAAAAAGAAAATCTAGAATTCCCATGCTCAGAGAAAGCTGTGGGTTTTAAATTAGAATCATACAACTCTTCATTCTCCTCAGATCTAGCAATTTCCATGTCAGCAAATCGTCTCCAGAAACAAGATTTCTATGCTCAGAGAACCCACTTGGCTTTTTGTTTCCTGTGTGACTATTTTAAACCTGAGAAGGATCTTGGGATAGTGAATTTTCAGGCTTTCTAGTTTTTCCCATAATTAAACTCCTTGGAGCGGGGCCGACTCATCACGTGGGCTGTGCCCTGGGGGTGGCGCGGGCCCCCGTGGAGGTGTTTCCCCTCCCCAGCGTCGGCTGCCATTTGTCCCATCTCTGAAGGCATCTGTACCAGTGCATCACACATCTATCTCATTTGGCTCTTTGATTAGCTTGGAGGTCATTTTCGAGCTGCCTTTGAGTGATACAAATCTTTGTCTGACCAAATTGGTGTCACTGCCCGCGGCTGCTGCACCCCAGGCCTAGCACTGGCCTCTTCGCTGCCCTCCAGAGCGCACAGCTTACCAGACCCACCGAGAACACCCCGGAGACGAGGTACAAAGCACAGGCTGAGGGGCAACAAAGGTCCAGCGCGGAGGACAGGCTAGGGAGATGAGGCGGTGAAGGGTGTTCAGGGAAGCAAGAAAGGAATGTTCCAAAAACAGTGTAGCTGAATCATTGGGGAGGGGTCCACAGTTCCCTCTATCAAGAGCTAAAGAACAGAGTCTATGGCCTTACAAGGACAAGGGCGTGCCTTCTGACCAGGGAAGGGCAAGACCCTGGCAGGCTCAGAGCTGTGGCTGGGTCAGAAGAGGCGGGGCTGAGGCAGTCCTGGGGCAAGGCCTTGGTGGGATTATGGCTGGTCATTGGAGAAGAGGTGCGGGCTGAGGCTGTTGGCAAGGTTGTGGGAACTGACTGTGGCCCACGCCGGCAGACGATTGGCCCTTTCCCTGGGAGCCTCCGGGAACAGGGGGGAGGGGTATAAGGGGCGGAGTCACTGGAGGGCAGGTTCCGGCCAGTACCTGGTTGTGCTAGGGTAGAGAAAGGCTATTTGAAGTGGAAGAGCCTGGGACAGGCAGGGGCGCTGTGGGGTGTGCTGGGGTGTCAGTGGCTGGGGTACAGTGTTCCCCGCCTCCTACCCAGCAGCTTTCTCAGCTCACATCAGCCTTCTCTTTCCAAAGGGCCCGCTTTGGGCCCAGTGGCCTCCGGCCTTGCCTAACTCGGCTCCTGGGGCTGCCACATGTCCAGCTGAGGTGTCTGAGGGGTCCTCACGGCCGGACTCTGGTCCAGGCAGGGTGAGACACCTGAGAGCCCCATATCTGCCAGGTCCTGCCCTCCCAGGAGGTGGAGCACTCCATGTTGGGCCCGCCCAGCGATGGCTTCCACATGTCCGCCTGGAGATCCAACCGCCTCTCTCCCAGGGAGGAGCAAGAGCTGGAGCTTGGTGAGTGGTGGGTGGGTCTGGGGACTAGGGGTGGGGGGCTGGGGACGGGGGGGGGGGGAGGGGAGGGGGGAGGGGGAGGGCAGGGGAATTCTGCCCGTGGTCATCTGCTTGTGCCTACATGGTACAGGGGGATTGGTCCACTTAGGTCCATCTGGGTCCATCTGGATCCACCAGAATCTATCCAGGTCCACCCAGATCCACCCAGGTCCACCCATGTCCATCTGGGTCCATCTTGGTCCTTCCAGGTCCACCCAGGTCCGTCCAGATCCATCTGGATCCATCCAGGTCCGTCTGGGTCCATGCAGGTCCATCTGGATTCATCCAGGTCCATCTGGGTCCATCTTGCTCCATCCAGGTCCACCCAGGTCCATTTAGGTCCACCCAAGCCCATTCAGGTCCTGGCCTCCATGTGTAGATGCTGGAAGCCTTCAGTGCCCCAGGACCCAGCAGAGAGACGACCAGTGGGATTTCAGTGACTGAATGAAGGCAGACGCGATGAAGGACAGGGGACTTGTCCTGATTACACAGCCTCTGGGCTCCAGCACAGGGGCAGGGTGGGCGCCACACCATTAGAATGGCAGCAACGGTACTCCCTCGGCCCCCGGCAGTGCTCAGGGTCAAGCCAGGGCCAGGCAAGGACCCCAGAGAACTCTCTGACAGTGAAGGTGGCCATTGATGAGGCCATGTGGGTGCCTGACCCAGGAGGCTGAGATCTGAGGATCATAGTTCAAAGCCAGCCCAGGCAGGAAAGTCCATGAGCCTCTTACCTGTAATTAACTACCAAAGTGCCAGAAGTGGAGCTACGGCTAGCTTTGAGCAAAAGACGCCCAAGGACAGCACCTAGGCCCTGAGTTCAAGCTCTAGGACTAGAAAAAAAGCAAAAGAGGAAAGGTTTATTTGGTTCATGGTTTCAGTCCATGGCGGGATGGCTCCCTCACTTGTGGAAATACCAAGGCAGACAGTGGCAAACTACCGTGTCAACCAGGAAGCAGAGAGGGGAGAGGGGAGAGGGGAGAGGGGAGAGGGGAGAGGGGAGAGGGGAGAGGGGAGAGGGAAGGGGTCTGGGACAGCGTGTGCCCTTCAAAGCCATTGCTCAGTGACCTGCTTTACCCAGTCTCCTCCACCTCCCAAGGATGCCATCAGACCATGATGCCATCAGACCTGGACTGACCTGGGATGACCCAGGGCTCTCATGATCCTTTCACCTCTCAGGGCCTGCAGCCACTAGCGAGGGGTTAGAGCCTGGGGACAGCACGTCAGGGTTGAATAACACCTTGACATTTGCTTGATGAAGGATGCTTCAGAATTCTCCCACCCACTCCCGGCCCTGCCCACCTCCTCCCTGCCAGGTCACTGACGGAGGAGACAAAATCTGTTTGCCTGTGCATTTCTTTCTTTTATTTTTCTTTTTGTCAGTTGTGGGGCTTGAACTCTGGGCCTGGGCGCTGTCCCTCAGCTCTTCAGCTCTTCAGCTCAAGGCGAGCGAGCGCTCTACCGCTTGAGCCACAGCACCACTTCTGGTTTTCTAGTGGTTTATTGGAGATAAGAGTCTCAGAGTTTCTTGCCTGGGCTGGCTGAGAACCGTGATCCTCAGATCTCAGCCTCCTGAGTAGCTAGGATGACAGCTGTGAGCCACCGGTGTCCGGCTCATTTCTTTTCCGATAGAGCGCTGGTCGGCCATCTTGCATTTGCCTGTCAGCTAGTAGGGCGTCCTGGCTGGTGCTGAGATGTGGTGGACGTCCCTTGCTGACTGGCCCAGAGGCTTCCATCTGTTATTCAGAACTCCTCGTCACAGACTTATGAACTGTTTTTGAGTTTCCACTGGCTACCGATGGTTGGGGTCCCCAGAAGTTCATGCTGTGCACGAGTGGTGAATGTATTAGTCCTTTTGTTTCTTATTTAGGCAGCCATTTGCTCCTGGGGACTGGCGGTCAGGACCACAGGGCCCCTGCGGCTCTGCAGTGTGAGGCTGCCCCTGCAGTGTCACTGTTTCCTGGTTATTACCGGGCAGTGACCCGGTTAGCGCAGGGTCTAGGGGCTGCCCTTCCGCTGGCTCTGTGGGCATGTGGTTTCCTCATGGGCCCGAAGGTCCAGGTCTGGTTGTGGCTCATGGCTCATTCCAAGCTCTGTGCCCTGGCGAGCTGGCTGCACACTGAGCCGCTCCGAGCGGGTCGCCGGGCGTCAGCGGTGCCTGGTCTGACAGCTCTCTGCAGTCTCCTCTGCTTTCAGTTTCCTCCAAATATAGTTTCAGAAAAGCACTTTGCAGGGCTGGGAAGGTGGCTTAGTGGCAGAGTGCTCACCCAGCATGCCTGAGACCCTGGGTTTGATTCCTCACTACCACCTAAAAACAACAACAACGACAAAAGAAAGTACTTTCCACAGGCCTAAATGGGGGTCCTGCGGAGAGAGCCGGCGTGCCTGGGGCTCCAGCAGCTTCTCTGGGTCACAGGGGACTTTGGGCCCTCCACAGACAACTCAGAGGTGGGGCTGGAGGAGGAGTTGTGGAGCCAGCGCCCCCCCTGGGAGGGCACGTTGCTGGGCAGGATCAGGACGATGATGGCCATGGAGCAGAGCCTGGCGCTGGAGACCATCTGCCGCTGTCTGGAGGAACACAGCCAGGTGGGGCGGGGGCCAGGGTGGCAGGCCAGGGCGGTCGGCTTGCTGCCCGGTGGGCGCACGCGAGGAGGGCCTGGGCCCAGCCCTCCTGAGACCCCCTCCCACACAGGAGGGTGTCTAGTTCATCTCCAGGCGCCCCCCCCCCCCAGTTCAGGGAGAGCCGGGCAGGGGCGTGGAGGGTGGCGAGACCTCGTTCCACATGAGGGGTCACGGTGCCGCTGTGGGTGGACTGCCCTGGCCCTCTTCAGGTCTCTGCAGAGATTGTTTCTGGTGGTCTCAGCTAGCCCATGGCGCCCCCCCCACATACACACTAGCAGTGCCTGATCCTTTGAACTGGGGGCGTCAGAGGGAGGACTCACAGCAGGGCTGAGCACTGGAGGGAGACAGCCGAGCACACTCGCTGAGCTCGGGGACCTGAGAACAGGTCTCAGAGACGAGGAGAGGAAAACTATCTAGTCAGAGGAACACGCTGCACAAAGGCCTTGAGGCTGGCGTGGGGGGCAGGGGGCTGGGAGCCGGGTCCAGGGCTAGCTGGCTCTGCCCTGGGGGGAGGGGAGGAGGTCTGCTGCAGACTGCAGAGGCGGACGTGGCCAGACTCCTTGGGGATGAAACCCCTCGCCTCTCCTCGTTCTGTGGGGAGTGGTTTGTGGTCTCTGGTCATCCTGGGCCCTGTCCTTCACTGGTGGTATAGAGGAGGGGGGCAGGCAGGGGCCTGACCCAAGCTCTACCTACAGAACCCAGAAAAGCAGGTGTCAGTGTTTGACAGCAGCGTGCACAAGTTCCTGGAGTTCCTGGGCCTGGACCCCAAGAAGTCTGAGGAGAAGGTGAGTGCCCAGCATGGCTGCCCAAGGCCATCCCTCTGTTGCCTAGAGACCCCGAGGAAGGGGACTTCGCAGATGCGGCCCAGTGAGGAGACCGCAGGCACAGGGTGGCCCTCAGGTGAACTTCGGGGTGCGTAGGGGCTCCTGTCCTGTGGCCCGAGCCCTTGGGCGGTACACAGGCCTCTGGGCTCAGGCGCCGAGGGTGCCGGGCCTGGGCCCAGCCTGCTGCAGCTGCCACAGGGCTCAGGCTCCTGGGACAGCAGCCTCCCAGCCCCGGCCCTTCCCGCCCAGGCTTTTCTCTTCCGCCTGTACGGGCTGATCCTGCGGGAGTGTGCGTCCTCAGAGCGGGTGGAACACCACCTGGCCTGCCTCCTGGAGCTGTCCCACCAGCCCTCCAGCCAGCGTGAGGTGGGTTGGTGCCCCGGACTCTGCCCCGTGCCACCCCCCCCATGCCCACCCTCACCACGTGGAGACACTACGCCACGCTCACAGGGCTGCGGTTGAGTGAGGAGCTGACCCCTCCAGACTGGGCAGACAGGACGGCCACCTGCGGTCCTCTGCCCACAGGGCATTGCGCTGGCCGTGGGCCTGGCGTCCGCCAGGCACCTGAAGGAGGTGTGGGCCCTGCTGGAGCACCTAGGCCGCACCAGGTTCCTGAGGTCGGTGGTCACGCCGGAAGAGAGCCAGGTAGAGAGGCCCGGGGAGCCAGGCCCTGCAGGGAGGGCTCAGCCTCCAGTGCTCAGTGGTGGCACGGGCCTTCTGCCCACCACCCCAGGAGGACAGTATGTGGGCTCAGAGCGGAGGCTGCACCCTCTCTGGCTTCCCGCAAGTCCTGTCTCAGAGCCTGAGAGAGGTCTGGGGCCACCGCCAGGCAGAGGCCCTGGGCCACATGGCCACCCCCACTTCCAGTGCAGCCTCTGGTCTGGACCTTAGTTTCTCTTCCTGCACCTGGCCCCATGTGTTGAAAAGCTCTGTCTTCCTGCCCAGCCCCCGCCACTGCAGCCCCGCTGGAAAGAGCACCGACAAGATCCCCGTCCTGCACACAGAGGCCTGCCTGAGCGGGGGGTGGGGGGGGGGGTGGGGGGGGGGTGGGGGGTGGGGGGGGTGGGGGGTGGGGGGGGTGGGCTCCCTGGAGGGGGAGGCTGGGTCCAGCCCCGGACCACAGCACAGCTGTCAGCCATCCCAAAGCTGAGGGGCGGCGGGTGCGTGCTGGGAGCAGGGCTGCCAGGCATCAGCGCCCAGGCCCAGCTCCAGCCCCTGGCCCACAGCAGCCGGACCTGCGCTGGAAGTGGGTGAGCAGCACCTCCCTGCTGTGCTACGGGCAGATGGCCACGCACGCCAGGGAGCAGATCCTGCCCTGGGTGGACAACATCGCGTCCCGGATGGTGTACTACTTCTCCTGCAGCCCCTGCGTGAGCCACACTCTACCGCTCCCGAGCCTGGCTCTGCTCCCCTCCCCTCCCCCCCCCCCCCCCCCCCCCGCCCGCTCTGCTCCAACCCGGCTCTGGGCAGCATGTGTGCCTGACCGGCGCGGCTGCCCCCGTGGTGGGAGGCCCCAGGGAGAGAGCTGGGAGAGGTGGGCCAGGGATGTGAACCCCTCCACTCTGTCCTGAGCGGCATGGGGCGTCCCTGGGGGCGGCCTGCCACCCAGCCCCGTGTGGCCCCGTGTGGTGGGGGGTCCAAGGCCGGCTGGCTGCACCGCTGACAGTCCTGTTGGCCCTGGGCCTGCACAGGACGAGGTTCTGAATGCCAGCTTCCTCACCGCGGCCATCCTGCTCACCCGAGCCCTCAGGCGCGAGTATGGCGCCCAGAACTACAAGTTCACACAGACGCCGGAGCTCATCCACTGTCTCCTGGTGAGGGGCATCCCGGGCCGGCCGGCGAGGGGCCGGGTGTGGGGCGTCCCGGGCCGGCTGGTGAGGAGCCGGGTGTGGGGCGTCCGGGGCCGGCTGGTGAGGAGCCGGGTGTGGGGCGTCCCGGGCCGGCCGGTGAGAAGCCGGGTGTGACACCACTGCCACCCTTGCCTCCTCTGCCTCCCAGAGCATGCTCCAGAAGGAGCCCAACTTTCTGGCCACCCTCCTCCGGCAGAAGATCATCCTGGTCATCGTGGGGCTGAGGTAATGTGATCTGTGCCGCAGAGCAGGCCAGGCCCTCGCGGGTGCCATGGGGAGGGGTAGCGCTGGGAGCTGGGGTGGCACCAGGAACGGCGAGAGAATGCTGGGTGGACTGAGGCCTGGCACATTCTACCCAGGAGGGTGCAGACGGGGCCCTGGCTCCACTCACATGCCGGGGCCTGCCCTTTGTTACCACTGCAGACCCCCATCTTGGGCCCTCGAGTCCTGACACTGGTGCAGACCTCTTTGCCCCCACAACAGCCCCTGGCTTCTCACAAACAAGGCCTGGGAACGGGGAAGGGAGCCGAGCGCAGGGCTGGCTTGCTGCGGCCTGTGCCCTGCCTCCTCCAGCCCCGCCTTGCCGCCCGCCCAGAGTTGAGGCGAGCCCACATCCCAGTTCCAATCCTGCTAGCTGTGTTCCACGGCAGCCTCCCCACACCAGCCGCCCACCCCACAGGGCCCCCAGCAGCCTCCACTCTCTCCTGGGTCTCTCACAGCAACCTGCGGCCCAGCCTCAAGCCTGTGGTGAAGTCCCGGGTCCTGCAGACGTGTCTGCGGAGCGTGTACTCGCTGCCCCCGCCGGAGGCACTGCGGAGCAGCCTGCCCCCGCTGGAGCCCGCCCCCGACGTCATGGTGAGACCTCCCACCTGCAGCTCCCCCAGCCTCACCCCCCCCCCCCCCGCCATGCCCAGGGTTGGGGGTTCAGGCCGGCCCTGCACTACAGAGAGAGGAGCATGTGAAGAGCTGCGGGGTGGGGGGTGTCAGGGTACAGGACGCAGCCTCCAGGAGCGGTGGGGTACAGGACGCAGCCTCCAGGAGTTGTAGGGTACAGGACGCAGCCTCCAGGAGCGGTGGGGTACAGGACGCAGCCTCCAGGAGTTGTAGGGTACAGGACGCAGCCTCCAGGAGCAGTGGGGTACAGGACGCAGCCTCCAGGAGCAGTGGGGTACAGGACGCAGCCTCCAGGAGCGGTGGGGTACAGGACGCAGCCTCCAGGAGTTGTAGGGTACAGGACGCAGCCTCCAGGAGCGGTGGGGTACAGGACGCAGCCTCCAGGAGTTGTAGGGTACAGGACGCAGCCTCCAGGAGCAGTGGGGTACAGGACGCAGCCTCCAGGAGCGGTGGGGTACAGCCTCCAGGGGTTGCCAGGTTCTGTTCAGTGAAGGAAGGCAGAGCCAAGCAAGAAGTGTGCTTCTGGGGCCCAGGGTTGCAGAGCCTGCAGCGTCCAGGCTCCGGGCCCAGGTTTCTAAGCCTGCAGTGTCCCGGCTCCAGGCCCAGAGGATGGAGCAGGCCCTGGGGGAGCCGAACTCTGGCCCTCCTGCTGGGCTGTCCAGGTAGATGCGTGGAAGTGTCGGGTGATCGCAGCTCCCTGAAAGGAGGAAGGAGCTGAGGAGGGGCTAGAGGTCTCAGGCAGCCCGCTCCACTGCTCACGAGGGAGGTGGCAGCCAATCGCATGGGGACTAGCTTTTTGTATCTTATTTTTAGCTTGATGCCTTCTCTGGCTGTGGTGGGGGTCTGGGCGGGGGTATGGGGAGGAGGTCCGGGGTGGGGGCCCAGGTGGGGGTCTGGAGCAGGGGTCTGGGGCAGGGGTCCAGGGCGGGGGTCCGGGTGGAGGTCTGGGGTGGGGGCCCGGGGGCAGGGGTCTTGGGCGGGGGTCCGGGGCGGGGGTCTGGGGCGGGGGTCTGGGGCAGGGGTCCGGGGCAGAGGTCTGGGACGGGTCTGGGCGGGAGCAGGCCTGGCGTCCACCGTCCCTGCACCCCTCCCCTCCTGGCTGTGGGGCACAGAATATGCTTAGGAAGTGACAGGCGCAGGAGAGGAGGGAGCCGTGGCTTCTGATGGCAGCGCAGTGGCCGTGGGCCTTATGGCAGGGGAGCACACTCAGGCCCTGGCTCCTGCAGGCTGGCTGGGCAGCTCCAGAAGCGCCAGGCGGGGAGGTGGTTGGCAATCGTGGCTCACTGAGTCATGAGTGAATGGGAGGAAATAACCCACTCCCCTACTGCCCCCCACCCACCCCAAGCGGCCCCCAGCCCTGTGCTGCAGGGAGGCAGCAGACCGGGTCACCGCCGGGGTGCTGGGCTCGGAGGGCCCCAGGGTCAGGAGGAGGAGGAGGGGGACACAGGTGGCTGAGGAAGGGCATTGCCGCGGGGAGCAGCCTGGTAGGGCGGGTGGCAGGAGGGAGGCGAGCAGGGAGAAGGGGCAGCCAGGGTTGCTCTCTGCCCTGTGTCACCGCCTCCCTCCATCAGGGTGCTCCCTGCGGTCTGGAGGTAGGACTCGCGTCTCCCGAGGTGGATGCCTGCAGAGCCGCAGCCCCGGGCTGGGTCCCCGGATGGACTCCTCTCGGCCCATGTCCCCCACTAGGCGCTGTATAAGAAGACAGAGCGCGCCCTCGATCTGCTGCTCCAGAACTTCGTCTCCGAGAACCCAAGCATGGATGAGGTCTGCTTCCTCCTGCAGGTGAGATGCAGTCAGAGACACAGAGACAGGGGTGCAGAGAGATACAGAAACAGATAGAGACACAGAGACAGGGGTACAGAGAGATACAGAAACAGAGACACAGAGACCGAGGCACAGAGGCTGAGAGATACAGGAACAGACACAGAGAGACAGACTCTTTTTTTTTTTTGGTCCGGTCGTGGGGCCTGAACTCTGGGCCTGGGCGCTGTCCCTCAGCTCTTCAGCTCAAGGCGAGCGCTCTACCACTTGAGCCACAGCGCCACCTCTGGCTTTTTTCTTTTTGCTGATGTGGTGCTGAGGAATCGAACCCAGGGCCTCAGGCATGCAAGGCAAGCGCTCTACCACTGAGCCACCTTCCCAGCCCGAGAGACAGACTCTTGAGATAGAGACAGAGAGATACAGAGAGATGGAGACAAGGAGACTGAGAGACACAGACATAGACACATAGAGACAGAGACACAAAGAAACAGAGACAGAGATGCAGAGATCCTGGGAGATAAAGCCATGGAGACACAGATGGGACAGAGAAACCGAGACAGAGACGCAAAGGGACAGAGACACAGGTGGGAGAGAGACATAGAGACACAAAGACAGAGGCCCAGAGACCTGAGGACAGAGTTACAGAGACAGAGACAGAAAAGGTCAAAGAGAGAAACAGGAAACACAGAGACAGGAACAAAGCGATGAGCAGAGTCAGAGACACGGAGATGCAGAGATGAGTAGTGGCCGAGGCCCTGGCCTGGGTGGGGTGGGCAGGGACGTTGGCATCTGGCTGGCCGTAGCCCCACCGCTGAGTGCCGAAACACAGTGTGCCCCGGGCCGTGAGCGAGGTGAAAGGGGAGCCAGTCACGGTGATTAGGGCCGGCCTGGGGGCCTGGGATCAGTGTGCGTGTGTGCGTGTGTGCGCGTGTGTGTGTGTGTGTGTGCGTGTGTGTGTGTGCGTGTGTGCGTGTGTGTGTGTGTGCGTGTGTGTGTGCGTGTGTGTGCGTGTGTGTGCGTGTGAGACGCTCCTCCACCTCAGACAGCCCGAGTGTGTGAGGCAGCCAGGAGCGGAAGCTGCAGCGTGGGCTGATGTGGGGGCCACCACGCATCCAGGCCGAGCCAGAGCTGGGCACCGTCCTCAGGCCCCGCCCTGCCCCCTGCAGCACATGGAGCACTGGCTGGAGTCAGAAATGACCCACGAGGTCAAGCGGGCCGTGCAGTCCATCTTCCTGCTCCTGCAGCACGTGGTGGGGTCCATGAAGTTCGGCGTGAGTCCCGGGGGCATCCGGTGGGGAGGGCGGAAGGATGGGCCCTGCACCCCCTCCGGGGCCCTCCCAGGAGCATGGGGCACTGTTGCCACCCCTCGTTCCGTGCACATGGAAGACACGGCCTGTTCCGGGAGGCTTGGGCCTGGGGCTGAGGCTGCAGCGGGGCTCGGGGGGCGCGGAGGGCCCCGGTGAAGGCAGCAGTGAGCCAGGAACAGAGACTTGAAGGATGCAGGTGGCCCCGTGTCTGCCTGGAGAGAGGAGGGTCACTGAGGAGTAGGCTGAGAGAGGATGGGAGGTCAGCGGTGCAGAGGACCACACTGGACACGGCAGGGGACATGGACCAGCAGGAAAGGAGTGGTCGGGATACAGGTCCCCAGCAACACAGTCTGCGGATCACCCCCCCACAAAGACGCGGCCTCCCAACGGGAGACGCTGGAACAAGCCCAGCTTGTTCCGGAAGCAAGCCCTGGACTCTACTCACACCCTAGAGAGAGCCAGGTGTGATGGCACATGCCTGTAATCTCAGCACTTGGGAATGAAGGCGGAAGGATTGGGAGGAAGACCGGCCTTCTTCCAAACGTGAGGGTGGCCAGGAATAAACTCTGGACGAAGCGGCCCTTCCGGCCCCTGTGCACTCGGACAGCCCGCAGAGCCTTGCCTCTGGAAGACGTACTAAGTCCCACCACAGCGAGACACAGCTCAAAACCTGGCAAGCTGCAAGGAGGAAATTTTGAGAAGCGTGCGAACGCTCATGCTCGTGCCCGGCAGGATCTGTCACCGAGGAAGCGAGAGCGCTCGCGAGACGTGCCGCTCACCCCCGGACCGGGTAAAATCACAGACTGGCAGCGCCCTGCTGGCGCGGACCAGGAGCAGGTCGCGTCACTCAGGATTATAGAAGTAGAGGATATCCAAACCACTCAGCAGAACTTCTAGAAGTTTCTCTGGAAGTTTCAAAGCCACTTACCCTCAATCCCACTTCTCGACTATTTACTCGAGAGCACTGAACATCTGTGTCTAGAAAAAGAATATTCGGAACGGTTTTATTCATTCTCCCCCACGCTGGGAGAAGCCCAGCAGAGAGATGCCTCCCGGCCACCAAGGAAGGGACTGTCGGCAACCAGCCGCCGCCGGCGACCCTCAGGGGTGTGGAGCTGAGGTGCTGTCGTGACACCCCAGAACCCGCCCGTGCCCATTCAGGAAGTGCGAGGCCAACGCCAGGCTGCAGAGAGCATTGCCCTGGGCGGTGGCAGCCCTGGGGGAGGGGTGGTGCTCTGGACCAGGGCACCAGTGCTGTGATTCGGATGTAATCTGAATGTGGCAGGGTTGGGGAAGGGGAGGGATGGGGCAGCCTCTCCACGATGGGTTCCCTTGGGACTGGATTGCAGCAAGCATTCCCCATCTGCCCCCCCCCCCCCCCGCCCCCAGGGAGAAGCCATGCCTTCCATACTGGGCCACCAGATTGGCCTGCTGACCTTGCTGTGGAGAGACAAGGATGAGTGTACCCACTACCATGCCCACCAGTGCGTCTTCCTGCTCCTGCAGCTCATGGCTCAGCAGAAGGGTGAGCTTCGCGCTCCCCACCCCCAGCCCCCCCAGGCGCTGCAGACCCCACTCCCGGCCAGCGAGTCGGGGTGCCAGCGCGTGGGATGGGCACCACCTCCTCGGCCAGCCCCCCTCCTGAGCGCATGTCTCCTGCAGGGGTGTCGGTGGATTTGTCACACTGGAATAAAATGAAGAACTTTGAAGCCAAGGCCTCCAAAGACTGGGAGGTGAAGCTCTCCCACACGGCCAAGGTGGGCCCCCAGGCTGCCGGGGCCGCCTGGTCCCTTTTTCCCGAGGCCCCCGAAGGTGTGTCCAGGGGTCTCCTGTGAGCTGTGGAGGGAGCAGAATGGATGAGGCCAGCCCGGGGCCCAGGCCGCTGTTCCTTCCACACAAAACGCTCTCAAGTCCACTCCTCCTCTCGTAGCATCTGCCTGGACCAGACCCGGGCCTGAGCCTCTCCCCGGAGCCTCCCGGGCCTCCCTCTGTGGTCCAGTGTGGCAGGTCATTCCACTCTGCTGGAGACGCCCTGTCTTAGCCCCGCCCCTCACTCCAGGCCAGCTGGACACTCCACTTCCTCCGGCCTCTCCTGGCCAAGTCTCTCTATGCTTCCTTCTCAGGAAGTGAGGGGCTGGGTTCTAGTCCATGTTCTGCCCCCTAACTCCTGGGTGGCCCAGGGTAGGTCAGTCTACCTTCCTAGGCCTCAAGCTGAGGTCCTGCTGCTCCCAGAGCAGGCTATGACCAGAACCATGGCAGCTCTGTGCGACTGAGTCCTGGGACAGCTCCAGGCTAAGCCTGTGAGACAGGCATCCGGGCTCATGATCACCAAGGGCGAGTTCTCAGGGTGGGGTGGGGGAGCAGGTGAGGGAAAAGAAGACAGGGTACGTAATCCCTGAATCCTCTGGCTAAGCACAGGGGTGTGTGTGTGTGTGTGTGTGTGTGTGTGTGTGTGTGTGTGTGTGTGTGTGTGTGATGCACCACTAACCTCCCAGGCAAGGCCAATTTTTCCAGACCCACAGAAGGGACAACTGTGGCCCGGGACTCACTGTAGCCGTTCAGCAGTCAAGCAGAAGGAAAGGGCTGGGACAGGGCCGGCCGGGGCCCCAAGCCTGTGTCATGGCATTCACATGGGTGCAGGTGGTCTCCATGCCATTTCGATGTTGTCTCTGGTGCCTGGCCTGCACAGCAGCTGACCGGAGGTCTCTCCCCGCCCCGCCCTCCCTCCAGGCCCTGGAGGAGGGCCTGACTGTGGCCCAGCACACCCAGCTGGTCCTCACATTGCTGCAGAGCCTCTGTGGCCAAAGCCAGCTGCGCTGTGACCTGGCGTCCAAGCTCCTCCAGCTGATCTTCAGCACACCTAGCATCCGGACTGAGCAGGTGAGGCCGGGGCCCAGGCCGCCCACCCCCCGGGGTGGGCAAGACCCCTGTGCCCAATCAGGATGAGCCTCCCTGCAGGCAGTGCGGGGAAAGCCAACCACCCTGCCCCGGGAACAGGGGTGGGGTGAGGCACTCTCGGAGATCATCTGGGCTGGCAGGTCCCCACAGGGCCGTCTGAGGCCTTGCTCTGCCCACCCCGCCCAGGTGGCGGAGATTCTGCACAGCCTGTTCCGGGAGCTACCCAGCATCCAGTTCAAGAGCATCCAGCAGACCATGATGAAGGCGGTGCTGGACCTGGGCCTGCAGCACACCCAGGAGGTGGTTGAAGTGATTTTGTCCCTGTGCCACCCCTCAGAGAGGTACCACCCCCCCCCCGCCTTCCCGGGGCCTCCCACTCCCCCCCCCCCCCCGCCTTCCCGGGGCCTCCCACTCCCACCCCACCCCCGCCTTCCCAGGGCCTCCCACTCCCATGGGACCCGGGAGGTACTCATGCGGGCAGGGGCAGCCTCCGAGGGCCAGGGGTACTCGAGGAAGGGCTTCACCATGGAAATGTGCGGTAGAGCCAGAGGTCAGCTGCGTTGTGAGGACAGGACGCGGTCCGTGCCCGCGCCCGAGGCTCACTGGGCACCACAGGGCTTGCCAAGCGGAGTCCATGGACAAGGAGGCCCCCCACAGCCCGTGGCTGAGGGCCAGCTGGGGCACTGCCCATGGGCTGGTCAGGAAGGCAGCCCCGGCACCAGCTGTGCACCGTGTGTGCACACTTGGCAGCTGAGACATGCCGGGACCTGGTCACGGGGTGAGGGTCCTGGCTTTTCCGGGCCCCTCTCTGCTCCTCGGGCTGTCTGAGGGGCACCCCCTCACTTCCCAAAGGAGGCAGGCTGTGGAGGGCGGGCCGCGGCCTCCCCCAGGAGCCTGGGAAGAGCTGGGGGTGGCGAGTGGGAGCATGGGAGAACCGCAGGCAAAGCCAACCGTGCTGAGCTGAGCAGGGCTGGACCCTGGTCCCGGGGCCGCTCCTGAGACCACAGCAGAGGCCCGGCCACATCGGCCGGCGTGCCCAGGCTGGCCATGCCCTCGGCACAGGCCACGCCCCAGCCTGGGACCACTGCTTCTGGTCCCTGGAGGGCTCCCCCAGCGGCGCACCCAGCTCAACTGGTGATGGCCAGCGCTTGTCCCCCCAGGCGGCTCCTGTCCCTGTGGAAGGCCCTGGCTGCCCAGTACCAGTTAGCCCGCAAGGTCATCACCCTCCTCTACATGAAGCTGAAGCTCCGGCCCCCTATGGAGCACGTCCGGACCTCCCACCAGGTCCAGCTCATCTCCCTGCTGGTGAGAGAGCCCCACACAGGTGCCACTGACCCTTCAGCCTCGGGGTTGGGATCCCAAGACAACCCCACGTTCACTGCTAGACCCAGTCCTCAGGCTCCCTGCTACGGTTTGTGCCTTCAGAGTTGTGGGTGGACGTGGCCATCCATGAAGCAGGGCCCTACACCTCGCTGTGAGCTGTGCCCGTGAGCCCACCAGGTGCCTGGGCTGCCCACGACTGGGCCCAGCCTCTGGATTCTGGGCCTTCCCACGGCCACTGGCACTTGTCCTCCAGGGTGTCCTGTGGCAGAGTAGGGAAAGGAAGCAGGAACATGCTGGAAAGAGCAGAGCCTTGGCAGCCCTCCTGAGACTGTTGTGATGATCAGGCACTGCCACGTGCGGCCTGCCTCAGGACCAAGTGTAGGGAAAGGCAAACAGACGAGCCAACGCCTGTCATCCTAGCTGCTCAGGAGGCTGAGATCTGAGGATCACAGTTCAAAGCCAGCCTGGGCAGCAAGGTCCGTGAGACTCTTATCTCCAATAAACCACTAGAAAACCAGAAGTGGCGCTGGGGTTGAAGTGGTAGAGCGCTCGCCTTGAGCTGAAGAGCATGGGGACAGCGCCCAGGCCCAGAGTTCAAGCCCCACTACCAGCCAAAAAAGAAAAAAAGAAAACACACAAGGGGTGGTGAGAGTCCATGGAAGACTTGAAGGGAGGGTAGAGGCCGACCTCAGAGCGGCCACCGGGAAGACTTGGGAAGTAAAGGCAGCCAGTGCCCGCCAGCATGGTCAGCCAAGCCATGGCCAGTACCCAAGCTTCCAGAAAGAGCGATCTGGTGAATGCTGCCCTTTAAAAAGGATTCTGCTGCAAAAACCAACCATTGGGGCGACTCTGCCTCCATTGTGTAGGGGCCTGGCAGGGCAGTGGGCATATGACATGAGAACTACCTGTGGAGCGGTTCAGGGAAAGAGCCAGGGGCCCCAGCCGCCAATCACAGCTCTGCCCTGAGTCAGGGAGCCAGGGGCCCCAGCTGCCAATCACAGCTCCGTCCTGAGTCAGGGAGCCAGGACCCAGCCAATCACGGCTCTGCCCTGAGTCAGGGAGCCAGGAGACCCAGCCGCCAATCACAGCTCTGTCCTGAGTCAGGGACCCTGGAGACCCAGCCGCCAATCACAGCTCTGCTCTGAGTCAGGGAGCCAGGAGACCCAGCCACCAATCACAGCTCCATCCTGAGTCAGGGAACCAAGAGACCCAGCCGCCAATCACAGCTGTGTCCTGAGTCAGGGAGCCAGGGGCCCAGCCACCAATCACAGCTCTGTCCTGAGTCAGGGAGCTTGGAGACCCAGCCACCAATCACAGCTCTGTCCTGAGTCAGGGAGCCAGGGGCCCCAGCCACAAGTCACAGCTCTGTCCTGAGTCAGGGAGCCAGGGCTCCCAGCCACAAGTCACAGCTCTGTCCTGAGTCAGGGAGCCAGGACCCAGCCGCCAGTCACAGCTCTGTCCTGAGTCAGGGAGCCAGGCCCCCAGCCGCCAGTCACAGCTCTGCTCCGAGTCAGGGAGCCAGTGGGATTGGGGTGCTGCACCTGGGAGAGGGCTCTGGAAAAGATGTCCACATAGGAAGCACACCTGAGGCAGTGAGAACCAAGCCAGGGGTGGCATGAAGGCCAGGCAGAGTTTGAAGTCTCTGCAAAGTCAGGAGGTCGGGGCCCAAGCCTGGAGCGGAGATCTGGCCTTGAGCTGCCTCTGAGCTGCTGCAGGGTGTGGCCAGCCACGTCTGTCCAGAAGTGGTGTGGAGCCCCAGGGTGCCGGATGAAAGCAGCAGGCCTTGGGACCCAGTGGCTGTCAGGCCACTGCTCCCAGGCTCCCTGGACATGTGGGCCCTGCTCTGTAACCCGCTGCAGGCTCTGGGAACCATTTATGAGCTCCTCTACACCCAGGAGTACAGGGAGACTGTCCGCTGGGCCTTTGCTGGGATTCTCCTGGGCCTACTCACACAGCTTCACTATTTGTTTGAGCTGGGATTTGTGGAGGGCATCTCAGACTACGAGGAAGACATCTTGGAGGCCAGGCCCCTCGGGCCCTGCAGGTGAGATGTGTGCTTTGCCCGCACGCCCACCCAGCAGAGGCCCACTAGGTGCTAGAGACCCAGGGAAGGGGGAACTGTTCCACAGGGGTGGCAGGGTGGGGGTGGCAGTGGTGGTGGCAGAGGAAACACCACCTGGCAGCTGCCAAGAATCCAAGGGAGCTAGGGGGCAGTAGCTCATCCAGGCCCAGGACCGCACTCCTCTCTGCCTGCCCTACCCAGGACCTGCCTAGAAGCACTGAAGGGTCTGTTTTGGACCACGCACTACTGGGAGGTGTTTGCCCACATCAAGCTGCTCCAAGGCTGGCAGCTCTTTGAGCGCGTGGAGACTTACGCAGAGGGCGTGACACTGCTGGCCAGGTAAGCCCTAAGTGTGTGGTCTCTGCCTAGGGGCAGCTGGGAGGGTTGGCAGCCCAGGTTCTGATGGAGCTTCCCCCCCTGCCCCCAAGCCTGAGTCCTAGACAGCTGTAGGGCCAGGGCTTGGGACTGAGCCTAGCCCGAGGACGGAATCTTAGGGGCAGGGCTTGCCTCTTCCCTCCGACAGGACTATGACCCAATATAACTGTGAGGTCAAGGCTGTCCTGGGGCAGGCTGTCATCTTCCTGAAGAGCGTGGAGGAGCGGGACAATGTTGTAGCCATCCTCATCATCACGGAGGTCAGTCCCACCCCGCCCTGCTCCTGTGGTACCCTCCATCCTCAGGAAGGCCAGCGAGCAGACTCCCCTCCCTGCCCCGTTCTCCGCGAAGCCCAGTCGGCTCTGCTGTCTGAAAGTGCCTGTGTGTAGCTCCGCCCACGTCTAACTCCCCGGCTGCTGTGGAGGACCGGAGGGGTGACAGAACCCACCCCCGCTCAGTTTCTCAACAGCCCGGACATCTCCCAGCACACGTCCCGCAAGACCATCAGCAGCTCCCTGAGCCTGGGCCTCAACCACCCCAGCAAGTGGGTGCGGGCCTCGAGCCTGAGCGGACTCAGCAGCACCCTGATGCACCCTAAGAAGGCGAGCGAGGGGTGGGGGGCTGGGGAAGACGCCCACCACCGCCCCTGAGTGACCCTGCCTGCCTGGAAGGCGCAGGTGTGGAAGGCCCCCAGCGCTGGTGCGAGGTGGCAGCGTCTGGAGGACCCCAGCATGGCTCAGACTGGGGGATTCTGAGTCCAGTCCGCTGGCCTCCTTCCAGGTAGGAACCCCTCATCTGACCACACAGGCCTGGTCCTTCTGCCCTTCTAGGCCTCCTCATGCAGTGTGTCCCAGGACACATTCCCTGGGCTGAGAGGAGGCTGCAGGCTTGGCCTCTTCCAGATAAGTGTGTGGCTCAGGGGTGCGGGTGCGGGCGGGCCTCGGTCAGGGACCCAAGCCTCTTCTGCTGCAGGCCCCTCTGTCTTGGAGAAGGGCAGATACGTCAGACAGATATGGCTCGGTGAGGGCGCCTGACAGGGCTGTGGCTCAGAGCCTGCTCGGGTCTCCCTCGGGGCAGCTGGCTGACACCGATCACCGGTTCCCCCCGCAGGTGACCCTGCTCCGAAGTCAGCTGATGGGGCTGCTAGAAGCCTTCCTGCAGCCCGATCCCAAGGACCTCCTGGGCCTAATGCAGATCCTGGGCGATCTCCTGCACCGCCTGGGCATGCAGGGTGTGGGCGCCCTCAGCCTCAAGGTGGCCCAGCACCTGCTGCTCCTGTTTGAGGATGTAAGTGGGGGGAGGGTAAGGGGGAGGGAGGGCGGGGGCCTGAGCAGAGCCGGGTGTGTGTGTGTGTGGTGTGTGTGTGTGTGTGTGTGTGTGTGTGTGTGTGTGTATGGCTCTGAGGGGCTGAGAGGCTGGCAGGGCGGGAAGAGGCACTGCCCTAGCCCCAAGCAGCTCTGCGGGCGGGGCGCACGCGCACCTTGGCTCAAGTCCGCCATTCCGAGGAGGGCGTCACGCTGGGCGGGGTGTGTGGGTAACCGTCCCAGTCCTATGGGTCCTATGTCTTCCGGTCTGCTGGGAACCTAGCACAGGCGGAAGAGAGGTTCCGTGAGGGTGGGGGCCTTCTCCACACCGAGGGGAAGCACCTCCTCCAGCAAGGGCCTGGACTGTGTGGGCCCTGGCCTCAACCCTTCCCTCATCTCAGGATTTAGGCATTGTTAGCTGACACTTACATAAAGGGAGACAGCCCTTGTCGGGGATCGGGGACGGGCACCGGTGCCCGGGTCTGCCCGGGACGGGGGATGGGCTCTGGTGCCTGGGTCTCTCCATGAGTGGAGATGGGGCCACCCTCAGCTTGAGGACTGGCAGAGAAACCAGGGAGAACCAAGACAAAGAAGGCCTGGAGGAAGCTGAAGAAGATGAGAGGGAAGGCCAGGAGCCAGAGGAGGGGCAGGGGCGGCGGGGCAGGGAAAGGGCCTGGCCTGGGCCGCAGACAGGGCTCAGTGTGGTCAGGAGTGACAGGGGAAGGGGAGGGCGGCGGCCGGGAGGCCGTGCTGGGCCGGAGGGGCGCCCGCGGGTGATCTGAGTGGAAGGCCTGCCCCTCTCCCCTAGGAGAGGGCTGAGGTGCGAGAAGGCGCCATCTTCCTGTTTGGGGACATCATCCACAGCAGTGGCCACAAGTGTCAGCAGGCACTCAAGGCCCTGGCCGTGCAGGCCCTGGTGCCCCTGCTCTTCCACCTGCTGGACTCCTCCCCCAGAGTGGCCATGGTGAGCAGTGCCAGTCCCCACGGGGCAGCCGGGGGAGCCCGGCTGGGGTAGGACCCATCTGCTGGGGGGGCTGGAGGACCCGGCCCTGTGAGTGGAGCCCAGCGTGAGGCCGCCATCCTGGAGGATGTGTGTGTGTGGTGTGTGTGTGTGTGTGTGTGTGTGTGTGTATGGCTCTGAGGGGCTGAGAGGCTGGCAGGGCGGGAAGAGGCACTGCCCTAGCCCCAAGCAGCTCTGCGGGCGGGGCGCACGCGCACCTTGGCTCAAGTCCGCCATTGAAGGCCAGCTGGCAGATGGAGAAAAGGAGAGGATCCTGTGGCTATGTGGTCCCCTAGCCACCTCCCTCCCCCCCATTCCTCCCACCTACCCCACTGCTCCATGGGAGGGTCCCGCGTGCCTTGGGGATCTCCACAGCCTGGAGCGCGCCCTGCCCCTCTTCCACACCTGGAGCCAGCACCCAGGCCTTTCTGCCTCCCCTTTGACCAGTGGTGTAGACGACTCCAGCACACCGGTTGGTATTCGGCCTGCCAGTGCCCCACCCTCAGAGGACATCATGCATCTTTCCCACCCCAGCCAGGACCCCAGGGTCACAAGGACCCCAAGCTTTCTGGGTCAGGCCTCTGTGGTGCCCTCCCGTCTCCTGGTGCACCTGTCCCACCTCTGTAAGGAGTACTCGTGTCTGATTAGAGACCTGAGCTCGCCTCTGCCTCCCCAGCACCGGGCAGGGGCCACCCCCGCAGGCCACAGTGCCCGCTTTGTGTGCCCCTGGCCTTGAGGCCTTTGTGTGCCCCGTATTCCAGGCCCCCGGGGGGTGGCGCCTCACCACCAGCAGCCAAACGGTCTGCGCAGGCCCTACCCCCTCTGTGCAAAGCCCAGCCCCTTCCTCAGACCTAGAATGAGTAGGCCCTTCTTCCTGCATCCCAGTAGCCCCTCGTGGCCTTTGCTCCACCTTGTTGCTTGGGCTGGCCTTCCTCGGCCTGGGAAGCTAGATGACCACGGCCTTTTCTGGACGCTCTCTGGGCTCGGGGAGTGGGCTTCAGCTCTCTGGCGTCCTGGAGCGGCATCGTTGCAGGAGGCTGTTCTCGGGGCAGGTGTGATGAGGGGCGGAGGCCGGGAGACCCCCCCCCCCCGTGACAGCTCGCTCTGCATCCCAGAGGTCCAAGCTCACGCTCCTGCGCTGTGCCATCGTGCAGAAGTGGGAGTTCCGGAAGGAGCTGTTCAGCAAGCTGGCATGGGGCCGAGGGCTGGGGGCTGAGAACGACATTTTCATCTACATGGTAAGGTGTGGGTCCCCCCCCCCCCCGTGGGGGGCGGGGTGAGGCCAGGGGCTGGGAGGTGGTCGCATCGTTGTGCATGATTGTCCCGGCCCTCTCTGCAGGGCCCCTGTGGGAGGACAGGCTGTCCTAAGTGACCCCAAGCCTCAGGAGGAAGCACCACCTTCCATGCTGGGGCTCATGTCCTCTGAAGTGAACGGTGGGGAAGAGTGGGCCTGGATGGTGTTCAAGACCTCCATGGAGGGCCCTGGAGACGCCGTGGCCCAGGGGTCCAGCGTAGGCCTGAGGTCAGGGCCAGAGCCTCTGCCCCCAGAAACCGCCAGGCCCAGAAACAGGGGTGGGCAGGAAACACCTCTCCTGTTGTGCTGCACCCAGCACACTACCCCCTGTGGCCTCCAGGGCCCGTGAGCTGGAGGACACGCCTGGCTGCTGTCCCTGAGCCTTGAGGCCTCTGCCACCCTTCCCCTTCTTGCACGAATGTGCCCGGTGAGCAATTGCCTGATTGAGACTGCACAGCACGGCCTGGGCCATCCCCAGCAGGCTGCGTGTGGTGAAGGTTGGAGCTGGAGCAGGCAGGACTCCAGGCACAGGCGCCAGCCTAGGGGGCCTCTTGCAGGAAGCAGAGCCTCGGCAGACCAGGAGAGGCATGGGATCTTCTTTTGTGGGGAGCAGTGTGGGTGTGGGGGCGAGCTGGTCAGAAGCAGCCTTCAGCCCACCAAAAAATCTTCCCTGACCTCAGTCACGTCTCCACAGACGTGCGGGCAGAGGCCTCGCATGCCGGGGATGGGCCCCTGGACGATCACTTGTGTTGCAGCTGGTTGGCACGGGGGTTTCAGTCCTGGGGCAGCCGGATCTGCTGCCTATGGCTTGTCCCGTGGGGGCCGTCTGAGCAGCTGTTCCCCGCTGCCCGTGATAAGCCCTGGAGAATGGAGGCAGCCTGGGCTGCCTTCCAAGGGGAAGGGGCTGCCTGCCCACCTAACCCCCCACCTGCAGGAGCAGGTGCTGCTCCCACACGGCACGCAGGGGCGCTACACAGCCACCACGAGGCCTGGCTGCTGACAGTGCACCCGCTGCGTCCCCTCCCCGCGGCACGGCCGCACGACAGGCCTCCTGGCAAAGGGCAGCACAGCGGGCGTGGACCCAGGTCCACAGAAAAGATCTGGGTGACAGTCTCGGGGGGACCACGGCGCAGATGTGGAGGTGACGGGCACAGAAGGGAGAGCAGAGCTAGAGCGGGCTCACAGAAGTCACACATCTGCCCTCGTCGGAGGCCACAGAGATGGCTTGGCATCGTCTGGTCCCCTCTCCTAAAGCTCGTTGCCTTCCCCTGGCTGGCCTGCCATGTGCTGTGAGTTCTCACTTCTGCAGCTGGCTCAGTGGCTCAGTGGCGCCCTCTGCAGTTCTGGAGGGTCTGAGCGGGTCTACCTGTGCTGACTCCTTCTTGTCCCCGTGGACCGGGGGCTCTGGGGCCTGAGCTGCACCTGGGGAGATTCCCCCCAGATTTCGGCTTGCTGCCAACCAGGGTGGACTTTCTGTTACCTGCTCGGTTCCAGGTTCCCGTAGAAGGTTTGCTACTAAATGCAAACCCCACTCCTCATGTGGCCTGTGCCCAGACACCAGCTCGGCTGGAGGAGAGCACTTTCTTCTGGTCTCTGCCAGAACCTGGGACTGGCGTGCCTCTTCCTCCTCGGCCCCCCACAGCCTCAAGGCTGGCCGGTCTGCAGTGTCCTCGGGCTGGGAGGGTCAGCCCCAGCCTAGGCCTAGACAGCCAGCCCGGCACTCAGGGCAGCCGCAATGCACCTCACTCGATCAGTGTGAGTACGGTAGTTACGTGTAAGTGCTCAGTTGTACGTGTGAGTGCTCCTGTCCTGAGTGCTTCTGTTAAGCGTGAGGGCCCCTGTCAAGTGTGGGGCTTTAATTAAGTGCTGGTGCTCCAGTTTCCTGTGAGCACTCTGGTATAAGAAGCACTCTGTGTGTAAGAGCTCCAGCTAAGTGTGAGCCATGGGCCCTCCGAGCCCGGGCCTCCTGCTGTGCCTTTGAGGGCCTTCCTGACCCTGAGCCCCGCTGGGACTGGCCCTCCCCAGCCCCTAGCCCTGGGTGCGGAGGAGGGTGTGGTACACCGGGGCCCCCGAAGCCTCAGGTGGAATCCTGCCAGGGATGCCAGGCGCCACAGGCCAGGTACCATGTGTGCCCCGCGTGCCCCAGGCTGGTCCCAGCATCTCTCTCTTCTCCCAGATGGAGAGCAACTTTGGCAGCTACCACCAGTTCCTCATGCAAGCCTTTACCTACCTGGGCAGCTCACAGAACAACCTGAAGGTGGCAGCCATGAAGTTCATCGGTGGGTACTGACCAGGCCACCAGGCCGGCCTCCCTCCGCAGGGCACGGCCAGCCTCCCCTCCCCAGGGTCTGCTCCGGGAGCAGCAGGTGGGCAGGACCACAGGCCGGGGATGCCCACCACCTGCCTCCCTCCACGCCCGCCAGGGGGCATGCTGCAGGACTACTTCACCGACCTCTGCTTCTACTTGAAGAAGAGCGATGTGAAAATCCTTAAGAACCGTGAGTGGCTCCTGTGGCCCCGTGGGAGGTGCCTCGGCTGTGGAGGCCAGTCCTAGGACGGCCGGGTCCTCGCCGGACCCCCAGCGCCCCAGCTGGCCTCATAGCCTGACCCGTGGTCCTGCCGCAGATCTGGAGGCCCTCAGCCAGGACACAGACTCCACGTGCCGCAGGTTCTACCGCAGGTCCTTAGCAGACATCGTGGAACTGTCCTACTTTGTGACCTGAGCCACGCGCAGCTCCGCTGGCCGTCCCCGCGTCCCTGTCCTCATCCCTGTCTTTGTTGTTGTCCTTGTTGAATTCTATCTTTATTAAATACTGACAGAGCACTGTGGCTTCCCTGGTCCTGCCTGTCCTCCGCCTGCCCCACCCAGATGCCAGTGGCCTTGAGACAGGAAAGCCTGTGATCTGCGGGGTGTTCATTAGCAGAAGAAAGTGCCCAGGACCCGAGGGCGGTGCTGTCTCTGCCTGAGGAACCTCCCTACCCCTCCTGCCCTTGGCAGCAATCAGGGAGCCCCGGTGTCAGCCTCCTCCCTGCTGTCCACTTTCTTACCACCACCACCACCACCGCCCCCGGCCCCAGTGGAGCTTTCTAGGTGCGTGTCGGACCTATGTCAGCCTGCCCGGCATCCTGTCTGGGTCTGGGAGTGTTGCCAAGGCCCCCCCGATCTGCTCCCTTGCTAGCTGCAGCCCTTGGCCCCTCGCTCTGTCCAGGCCCTGCGCTGACGCCACACCAGGCCTTGGAGGAACCCGCCAGCCAGGTAGAGCCCTGCCTCCCCCCAGCCTGGCCATGCGCCCCACCCTGCCGGGCTCTTCAGCAGTGCCGGACCTCTGCTCCCTGCACGCAGAGGTGTGCAGCAAGGTAAGCCGGTGGCAGCTGCCTGAGCATCTGAGGTCTTCACAGTGATCTTGCCTCGGTGCCAGGCAGCAATGGCTCAGGGAGTCCCAGCTGGCGCCTTGGATGTGGCTTTTATCTTCAAGGGCTCCAAGGCCTCCTGGGAGACACAGGCGAACCCAGCAGAGGTGCAGGGCGCAGCCAGGGGGCCACATCAGACACCAGGACTAACCAGGGCCCCCATCTCCGCACCTACCAGGGAGTGAGGAGGACTCATGGAGGCCACGGGCCCGGAAGCCAGCTGGAGACACTGAGGACACCGCACAGGGTCTGTGCAGGTCTGCCCAAGCCCGGCCTTCCCCGCAGGCTGAGGGCAGAAGTGTTAGGCCCGAGCTCAGAGCCCAGCAGCCCCTGTGCAAGCGGAGTGCTGCGCCGGCGCGTGGATGGACAGAGGAGCAAGGGTGGGCCGAGGCTGGGAGCTCTGGTGGATGGCGGTGTCTGGGATGGAGTTGAGGCTGTGGCTGGGGTGGGGGCTGCCTGGGGGAGGAATGGGCCAGGGAATGCGTCTTGAGGAACTGCAGCTTTTCAGGGTGGCATGCTTAGAGAGTGCATCGGCAGAGGACACAGAACACACAGCCACACACCCATTGTGCACACCTGTAATCCTAGCTACTCATCAAAAAGCTGAAGTGGTGATGTGGTTCAAGTGGTGGAGTTCCAGCCTAGAGCCAAAAAGCTAAACAACAGTGACCAGGCCCTGAGTTCAAGCCCCAGGACCACCATCCCTCCTCATAAAGGAAAACACAGCCAGAGACAGAAAGGGAGGATGGAGGAAGTGTGGACTGGGAGCCAGGGGTGAAGAGGCCGTGTGTGCGATGGACGGGGCAAGGGACCAGCCTCCAACCGTGCGCAGGATGATCCTGGAGGCTGCGAGGGGACAGTGGGGGGTGGGGGGGGAGGGGCCTGGGCAGGGATTTCCAGCCTTTGCCATGTGAGGAGTCTATGCTCTGAAGACTGCCACAGGAATACAGCTTGGGCTGGACAAATTACAGTAAATATGCTTTTTAATGCGTTGCTGGAAAATCCTAAAGGGTTAGAAACAAAATCAGCATGAACAGTGAGCCAATGCCAGGGTGGTGGTGGAGGCCGGCAGTGGAGGCCCAGGGGCCACCACCGCCGTGGGCAGCCGCTGTGGGGACTGACCCGCCTGGCTACCACAGGGTGGGGAGCTGAGCTGAGGCTGTCCTGAGTCAGGACGGCGGAGGCTGCGGACAGCAGCGCCCACCCATTCAGGCAGACCCCAGACTAAACAAAGGCAGCAGCCCAAATTCATAAGAAGTGAAAGATGGAACCAAGAAATGAGCCAGAGAAGGAAATACTAAAAAATGAAAGAGAACTTTTTTTTTTGATGCTGGTCCTTTAGCTTGAACTCAGGGCCTGATCACTGTCCTGAACTTTATGCACTCAAGGCTAGTGCTCTACCACCTGAGCCACAGCTCTAGCTCCACTTCTGGCTCTTTGGGTGGTTAATTGGAAATCAGAGTCTTACAGACTTTCTTGCCTGAGCTGGCATTGAGCCATGATCCTCAGATCTCAGCCTCCTAAGCAGCTAGGGCTACAGGCGTGAGCCACCGGCACCCGGCTGATGGGGAGAATGTGGTACAACACAGGTGATTTTGGCCAGGACCTAACCAACCAGCAAACTCCGAAGTGCCGACCTCCTGGGACTTGAGAGGTCCAGCGGGCGGGGGTGGGGGGGCACGTGACATCTAGGTCATCCTGGGCTACACAGAGACGCGTTGCCCAACAGACAGAAGAGGAATTCTTTAAAAGCACAGTATTAAAATGAAGGACGAAGCATGGTGGTGTGTATCTGTACTGGCTATTCAGAAGGCAGCAATCCTGAGGATTGTGAGATGAGGCTGACCTTAGGCAAACAGACTAAAACAAACCCACATAAAGCAGAAAGGGCTGGAGGCCTGGCTCACATGGTAGAGCACATGCCTAGCCAATACATCCCAGAAGAATGAGTAAATGGTAGAACAGAGACAATGACAAGCACAATGCTAAGGTGGAGGTGAAGGAAGAGAACTAAGGAAGGGTGTCGTGGAGAGAGATTGAAAAATGGGTCAGGAGAACCGGAGCCAACGTGGGGAAGAGGAGCTCAAAACCAAGATCATGAGAAGAAGCCCCAACTCAGCGGTGATTAGGAAAATGATGCCACATTTTGTGCCTCTTTGGCATGCAGTCGGTCGATGCCTGGTGAGGGCGTGTGGATGGGGCCCTGGCGCCTCTGTAAACCACCCGCTGCAGGGGCTTCTCAGATGGTCACCAGCTGCCGCCAGGCCCCACGGCAACCACGGGGCCATTCCTGAGATTGTGGGAGCAGGGCCGCTCTCACGCCACCTCCACAGCGGGCGGGAGGAGAGCGGGCACGGAGAGGGAGAGGGCGAGCTTGTGCCAACCAGAGAGGAAACACGAATGAAGACGGGGCTGGTGGTCTCCCTTCATTCCTCGACGTTCCTGGTCTAAAGCCCCAGTGCGTTCAGCTGCTCAGGCAGGAAGAGCTATTTCTGGTCCCAGGATTGGGACACGGACTCGTGGGGGCTCTGCTGCGTCCGTGTTTTCTGCAGGGCCCCCTCCCTCCCTCCCTGACATCTACAAGAGGCGGTGGCAGCAGCGTGGCCCTGGATCCTGGCACCAGGCAGGGTGGGGCAGCCCTGCGTTTCTGCTTCCTCCCTGGGTCTTCGCATCCGACCTCAAAGACAATCAGTCACAGGAGATACCCCGTGGAGCCAGGAAGCGAACGTTGCCATTTTCTTGCTAGCAGGTTCAGCCTTGCCATCCAACTCGGTATCTGAAATGCCCAGAAAACTCTCACCAAACACAAAGGCTGACACCCACCCACTCCTGAGCACAAGCGGGGCTCACGTGTGGGGACCTGACCAACCCTCTCCGCACCACAGTAGCCACGCTCGAAGATGTAAGGCGTCCTGACCAAGACACAGGAGACAGAATGAGACTCAAAATTGGCAAAAACCACAAGATCGACCGGCAGCATGGAACCGAGGACCCGAAGAGTTCACTCAGACTCTGCCGGCTGAGCTTGGGGAGAGGAAACCAGCATGGGGAAGGGGCGAAGGCAGTCTTCACGGTGACCGATCGCAGCAGACCCTGGGCCCACGTGGGACGTGCAGGAATGGCAAACTCCTGGAAGAGAACAGGGAAAACCTGGGCTGTGAGTGTGTGAGACACAGCACCAAAAACAACCATGAAAGAAAAGGTTAGACTTCTTTGAAATGAAAACCTTCTGCTCTAACAAAAGACAATGCCAAGAGAGTGAAGAGACAAGCATGGCTGAGAGGCGGTCACGAACACATCTACTAGCTGAGGAAGGGCTGCTTCCCAAGCACAGGAACTCCTAGAACTCCGCAGGGGAACCAGGGAGCTGATCCGAAAGGACATGAACGGAGACCTTGAGGACCAAGACACCGGGTGGCAAATGAGAGCCAGGAGAGACGCCACCGAGTCTCATCAGGGAGTTGAATACTGTAATGGCAAGGAGACACAGACACGCATGCGCTAGAATGGCGGCTAACAAAACCCCAAACTCCAGCCCTCATTTTGGGGTGACTGTTGGTGAGGGTGGGGAGCCTCAGGGCACTGGCACACTCAGTGGGGTGGCAGACAGTTCTTGTTTCATACGAAACCCAGTGCAGTCAAGGCGTCCATGCAAAGGAGAGCAGGCTTCTGTCGCCACGGACACGGGGCGCGGGCTCATGCAGCTCTGCCCACGGCTGCCCGGGTAGAAATCAGAGGATGAGCAGACCGTGGCACAGCCAGGCAACGGGCCGTTCTTTGCTGCTGAAGCAGAGTGAGCTCCCAGGCTATGAAATGATGTATGTATTGTGGAGTGGGAGAAGCCAGTCTGAAAAGTCTGCTGCCTGTGTAACTGCAGCGTGTGCACACCTGTAATCCCAGCTACTCGGGGGGCAGAAATGGGAGGCTGTAAGTTAGTTCCAGGCTGGCCTGGGCAAGTTTGCAAGACCTTATCTCAAAACTAAAAGCTAAAGAGCCGCTGTGGAGCGTGGCTCAGTGGCAGAGCTCTAGCCCGGCGTGCATGAGGCCCTGCCTTCAACCCTCAGTACCACAACAGAAGGAAGTAGGAGGAAGAAGAGTTTGGGGTGCGGGGGGGAGACTGGGGAGGGTTTGAGTAGCAAAGGACCCCGTGAGGGGCCTGGGGTCCCGGGTCTGGGCCCGGGTTCAGTTCCGGAGCTGGTTCCACCCCTTGGGGCGGGTACCTCACCCAGAGGAAGGATTCGGGGGCGCCTTCCAGCACCCGGTTGACAGAGCTCACCGGGCGCTCGTGTCGGGCGGCGGGCTCTCTCCGTGT